GTGCAGCCTCTGCCTCGCTGGACTGAGCATCGAGTCATACCTTTGTGTGCTTAAGAGAAAAAATGGGTCAGTTCATGCATGGCCTTTGCTGCTGTCTGGGAGCCCCTGACTTGCTGAGGCTCCAGAGCAGCATGTAGTGACTGTACAGACATGGTGTTTTCAGTCTTAAAGGGGTTTGAGAAATAATAGAGACATCAGGACTACCAAAGGAAAATATCAGATAAATAAGGGGAAGTTCCACTTCCATTAAGGTCAGCTGGAGCCACGTGAGAAGTGTGGCTGCTGTGAGCAGTCCTGTATTTGTGTAGGAAGGCTTCAAATGTCCCCTGAGAAACTATCAAAAAGGCAGTCATAGCTCTAGGAAAAAGGGAGATTTAGGTAGCTTTCAGTCATGTTTTGAGCCAGTTTCCGTGTTCCTCTTGCTGTATCCTTGTGTGTTTCCAAGCTCATGAAGCCCATGTCCCCACTGTCCTCGCATCAGAAACACATTTCCTGGTCTGCCACCAAGTTTTTTTGGCTGCAAATCTAATGCTTTCTCTTCTGCTTGTCTCTGTGGCTGAGATAGTCTCCTTTTCTTAAAGGTTTGAAATCTCTTTTAGGAAATGCATGTGATCTGTCTAAGTCAGTCTGTTTACCTGGAGAATTGTTTTTGCCAACCTAAGAGCTCATCCTGAAAACCTAGACTGAACAGTGATATGGCAAAGAACTTGAATTCACATCAAAATGCTGGCTTTGTTGCTAAATCTTCCAAGTTCCAGCAGTCTGTGGGTTTTGTCCTCATATTTGACATTAAATGTGTACTTGGAGGGGAAGGGTGCAGCCCTCTGCCCACGATGTTCTTGTTCACCACTGAGGTGCAAATCAGGGGCTGCCTGGTTGTCACAGACCTGAGCCTACCCAGGTCTCGCCGGGTGGCTCCTGTCTGTCCTGCTGCAGTTGGCATTTCTGCACAGAGGAGGGAAGGGCTGCCTTGCTGCTCCCCTGTCCCTGCTTCCGTGGTGAAGGAGGTTTCCCTGGTGCTGTGATGTTCCCTCCTGGGGAAGCGATGCTGTTCCAGGGGCTGTGGGGACAGGCTGAGCCCAGCACATCCCCACTGCCAATGGGGCTTTTTAGCAGATGAATTTGAGCTGCTGTCCCCATATAAGAGTTATTATTGATTAATAACATTAATATTAATAATAGGCTGCTCTTCCATAGCAGGAGCAAGTCTGTGTGATTAAGACTTAATTAATCATTGCAATTAGTTTTGCTCAAGTAAGCCCAGGGCTGTCCAGCTGATTTGAACTGCTGCAGCTCTCTGTCCCTCTGGAGATGAAGATGTTTGTGTGTCAGAAGGCCCTAGACACCCTTCCCTCACCACGATAGCCTTGTGCAGAGGGCTACGTCCACTCTTACATGTGCAGGGTCCTATCTCTGACTGCACTCCCTCACCAGAGCTGCTGTCTCAGCTGTTCCTGACCCGTGCTGGGCTGGCTGTGCCCTGCGGGGACTTTCTCCCAGGACCTATCCAGTGACCATGCTTGACACCCAGCAGCTTCACTCAGGCTGGCAGCCCAAAGACGGCTTGTGGAAAGACCAAAATCCACCAGTCTCCACCAGGGTTCTCCGAGGGACAGGTAGGGAAGGGGATCGCAGTACATCCTCCTCTGGGATGGGGCAAGGTGTCAGCAGTGGTGGTCCCTGTGCTCAGGGAGGGGTTTTTCAGTGAGGAGCCGGCGTGTATTCCCAGGAGTGCACTCCCACGCCCACTCTGCATGCCACCTTCTCTCCTCTCCCCTCTTCCAAATTCATGGCAGGCAGGACTGGGGGGAGAGTTTGTCACGCATACGGAGGAGAAATGCTCACTGTCTTATTACAGCTGCACCAGCTGTGCCTGTGGTAGGGGGATGTGCTACTGCCCTCTTCCTTCCAGCCCCTTCCAGTTCTGCCATGGTCGGGGCTGAGATGTGTGATCTTTGGAGGTGTATCCGACCCTGCCTTTCCTTTCCTGGGCAGATGAGCTCTGGGTGCAGCAGCTTCCCAGCATTTCCCTTCCTAGCAGAAGCCTGTCCTGCACCAACACCCTTTGCCTTCTGCTTTATCTATGTCTCCGACTTCTTCCTGATTGACATTACTCTGAATTGGAGCAGACACTCTGTCCTGGGTGATGACAATGTGGTCATTCAACTTTTAAGATTAGTGCTTATTCCAACACTTTTTTTGAGCATTAATTTGTCTAAGAAGGTCCTTTTCCAAGGTGTCTGAGTGTCTCTAGCTGTGTGTGTGCAGTACTAGCGGCAGTCTGGGGACAGCCTTGCAAGCCACGGCCTGTTGGGACCTCTGGGCTCAGAAGGGGGCTCTGGGCCTAGCATCTGCACAGATAGCAATGCATGTCTCTTTCATGGGTGGTGAGGACTGGGCCCTTGAAGGCTCTGAAGCATCCCAAAAACTGTGTGGATACAATCATGTGCTCTGGGATCACCCTGTGTCAGCAGGGAGGTTGGACTCACTGTGGTCCAGTCCAATTTGAACCATTCTGTGATTCTGTGACTGTGAAATGTCACCCTGATGTCCCTAATGGCAGAGGTTGGGGACACAAATGTGGTCTTGGGTCCACCTGCCAAACTTTGACTTTTTGGTGGATGATGAAGGGAAAACATGCAGAAAGGGATTTTTGTATTGACGTAGGTGCCTTGCACTGAAAATACAGTGTCTGGTGCCCCCTGCAATTGTGTGCATACTGCTAAGTGGTCGTTTCTTTTCCACTGCTGGCAGGATCATACGGACGAAGGTGCAACAGCCACCCAATCAGCAGGTCCCAGCCTCCAGCCACAGCATAGGTAAGGAAAACTTTTTTTTTAAAATAAAAAAAACCCAAATGGATTACAAATATTCTAAAGAACTTTTAATCATTCTTATGGACAGATAATTCTGCATAAAACACTTCAGCACGCGTGCTAATGCGCCTTCTTTGTCATTCTCCAAGGGCTGAACACAGTAAATGAATTTTATAAATACTGCTAAAAGGTTTTGAATTTTACTGATTATTATGATAAATAGCTTTCACCATGAGACAGAAAATTGAAATCTAAACCAAAAAAACTCCACTAATAGGGGTCTATAGAATGTCAGATAATTAAAGTAATAAATCAAGAAAGGGATACTTATTCATAACATTTTCTGCATCATTAGTCAGTAAGTAGTTTTGAATGTGTTTTTTTCATCTATCAACCATCCCTTCCATAATTCTTTGTGCACTTGCAGTCTTGAGGGAAGTGGTAGCAAAACTTTCTGAAACTTTAAATTCAGTTGCAGTGCACTGATGCTGTGCCCTGAGGGAGCTGGTGCTGGTGGAGGGGGTCCCCGGGGACAAGGCACCCTCGGACCTTTACCTGACTGGCCGTGTGTTCGTGAGAGGGTGGGTGCTGCTGTGCTGTGATGCAGCAGGGATGCAGAGGCTGAGTCAGGGCTCAGGGCTGATTTCTTTTTGTCCTTGCTCCGCGAAAGCTGCTGGGGCATGGGTCAGCCGTTGCTCTGTAGGAATTGGGATGGGACCCTTCTTCCTCTCTGCCTTTGTACTGTTACCTGTGAGATGGTGAAATGCTTGCTGGCTCCCTCTTGGCAGGGGTGAGCTGGCACGGTGAGACAGGGAGCCGTGTGCACTCCTTGGACCTGTCAGAGGGGTCACACTGCAGCCCTATGTCCTCAGAGCTGTCCTCCAAAACAATCTCGGGAGAGGAAAAGCATTCCTTATCTCCCTGTGGTGGTTTAAGGGCTGTCTCTCCTTGAGAAAAACAAGAACAGGGAAGAAAAATCTTATATCTCAGGGCTTGGGATTGATAGAGGCAGCAGGGATTCCCGACAGTAGTTTGCTCCATGGAGCTGTGGCTGGGCTCTTCGGTGTGGTCCTGCAGTGTGCCCCCCACCCTGGCCTTGGGGGGCTGCATGGTGATTTCTAGGATGCAGGGATGTGGCAGTGCAGGCTTAGCCTGTGAGCTGATGAAGGTGATGGTGGTGCTCCCTTCTCTGCCTGCTTCTGTGCAGCCACAGACTCCCACAGCTTCTCGTGGACAGTGTTTGCAGCTTGGTCTGGCATCTCCAGGCTCATGTTGCCTGTGGTGGATGATGCCCCTCACTGGATACAGCCTGTCCTGAGGGCTCTGCCAAAACAAAGTGGATTTAGTTCATATTCTGGGGAACTTCAGGGCCCTTCTGCTGGCCATCCCTGGGCAACCCCAGCTGTGTGTGGTCTCCACTGGCCAGAGGCTGGTGACATGGTCCAGCAGGATGCAGGCAGCACACCTAGCACAGCAAGCAGAGGTTGGTCTGCTGCCAGGAGGTTCCAGCCCCAGGACCTCCTTTGAGGCAGCTCTTCTCTCTGCATGGTTATGCTCCCGGCAAGCTCCATCCACGTAGATGGTGACACAGGCTGCTGTGTCAC